GAGTTTTCTCTTGAGCTGATTATGTGCTGAAATTTAAGTTTAGTTTTGATTATTACATGCTAAGTAAGATTAAGGAAAGATTTATTTGCTTTAAAACAACAAAATGAAGAGTTTATGAGGATTTAAAGATTGGAAGTTTTTGAATGAAATGTCGAAATAAAGTTTATATTGAGAATTAGAAGTTGAATTTGACTTGTCATCAAGTCAATTAAGGGATAGGAAGTGTTAGAATAGGAATTTGAACATGTTGCAAAACTAGTATAATTTTTGCAATTGCATAGGAATGACTAGATTTGAAGTTAAAGAAGTGATTAGTGAATAGAAATAAGTTTAAGTATGTGTATTAAAGTTAGGAGTATTAAAAGAAGTGAAATAGGAAGGTTTAAGCTAAAATAAGGTGATTTTCGAGCTCAAAATGGGATTTCTGGGCTAGGGGAATCGATACCCATTCAAGGGGAATCGATTCCTCCTCAAACGAATATGAATTCCAGAATGCTAGAGGGGAATCGATACCCCCAGGGGGGGAACCGATTCCCCCATAATGAAAAAAAAAAGAAGAAAGAAGAGAGACTAAACTATTAATCCCTTAAATTGGTAGGATATTAGAGGTTAATTTCAAGACTTGGGCATCTGATAATCATCTTGAAAATTATGTTTATGTAGATATTAAACGTGACTTTGCTTCAAAGTAATCGACGGGTTAGAATTGATTCAATTCAAACAAGGCTAAGGTGAGTGCATATTAGTATTATATGATGTTAAATGGAAATAAGACTTGCGACAAGTCTATTTCCATAGTAAAATGCATGAATTCATAAATAGAAGTATTTATGTGTATGATTTATATGTGTTGACATGTTATTGTATATATGTATTATATGGTTGATGTGAATATGTGATTATGAATAGGTGGAAAGGAAACAAATGATGATATAAGAATCTATTATAAAATATATGATATGAAAACATGATAGTGAGCTATGTGAAAGCACTATGAGATATATGAGTTATATGGAAAATATATGCGAAAAAGATATGACATCTATGTTTATATGGAACAATGCAAGGTGATATAAGCTATGTGAGATATGAATATAAAATCATATGAGAAGTGAAAAGGATTACATGAAAATAGACTAAGTGATTACATGTATATGTGAAAGAAGCTATGAGCTTATATGAATATGTGATATGAATGAAGCTATATGATATGATCTATGCGATTACATGCACATATGATATATGTTATATGAAATGACATATGAATAGACAATACGTGATACATGTGGTATGTGACAGAAGAGAAATGACAAGTAATGTGAACTGTTAAATGATAATGCCCATGTTATGTGATATGAGAGCTAGGGGTATAGTTGGCATGCCAAGAGTCGAGGGTTTACCTATGTTCTACGGAACATATGGATAGTTTTACCTATGTCTTTCGAGACATATGGACAGTATACCTATGTTCTAAGGAACATATGGACAGTTTACCGAGGATCTTTATGACCTCTGGACAGTTACCGAGGATCTTTATGACCTCTGGATAGTTACCGAGGTCTGTGTGACCTCTGGATAGGTCCTTCGGGACATTTATATGAGCTGTGGTGACAGCATAGTAGTGCACAACCTCAATAGACTCACATATCTACAGTTCTCACAGGTGCACATGGGCTAATAAGAGATAACATGGAATGTAATGTATAAGATATATGTGATGTATATACTTAGGGTGATATGTCATGTGTTGCTTGAATTATAATGATGTTGATAAAGATAATAATATACACGGGCAATGCAATTGGAAGACAAACGAAAAGTGAAAGTAATACAAGAAGATATGTTGCGTGTGTGTATGACATGATTATATATATTGTTATCATGCAATAGATACATGCATATTGAGATGTCATGATTCAATGGTATGAATGCACGTTCATGAATTTATTGTTATATGTTTAATTATTGCCTCACTAAGTCAACGACTTAGCGTGTGATTGTTTCACACGTAGGTTTCGAGAAGAATAAAGAGTAATGCGGAGCAAGACAGGTCAGTTCTCCTTACCAAATGTCAGATCAGAAAATGTATGTACTGTTTACAGAGTGTAGTTGGCATGTAGTCTAAAGATATAAATGGTATGAACTCTGATATCTATTGTAAACGTTTTGAAGTAATTTAAATGTTATCAAAGTTTTAAATTACTCACTATTTTATACGAATAAATGTTTGAACAGTCAATGTGACACTTCGGACTCGTATCCGGGTTGGGGGTGTTACAATACTAATATTGAACGCCGGCTTCGCTTTGCCCGTATGGAAATTTGTGTTGATTTAAACAAGCCCTTGATCTTCAAGTTAGATGTCAATGGATGCATTCAAATGGTGGAATATGAATTCTTACCGTTCATTTGCTTCCAATGCAAGAGATACGACCATGTGCAGCACAATTGTCTGGAATCCAAAAATGACCCCAATACGGAGGATGTTGCTCAGCCCGAAGAAATTCCTCAGGAACAAATTGAAACCCTTTTATTTGAACCATGGATGTTAGTGTCGTCTCTCTAAGAAAACTAATGAGTCCTCTGAGGATACTACGAACCGCGTCACTGGTATCTCCGTCTCGGTGTCGAGATACAATCCCATCTTTGAGGAATCCACTGACTTGGCAAAGGACAACGAGCAAACTGTCACCCACCAGACTAGTACCTTGTCTCGTAATGTCCCCCCCACCGCTCCCCTCTAGAAAACTCAGCAGCGTCGCAACAGTCCACAAAGGCTATTCACATCCGGAAGCCTCTCACACAGTCTTTAACTGATATTCCTATGCAAGTCCGCTAGTCCTCTAAAGCTAGTAGGACGCCCATGAAGCCTCCCGGTAAAGCTTTAGACAAGTCTAGGCATTCAGCAGTAATTCTTAAATGAAAATTCAGACCCCAACACCCATACTTTACCTCCTGCAAATCATTTCAGACCCTTTGGTGACGGGAATTTGAAGGCTTTGTCTGATGAGAATGCAGTTGCCATGCTTGAATGCTGCGAAAAAATATTTGAGAGATTTCAGACCTGATTTAATCGTTGTTGTGGAGCTTCGGATTAGTGTCCTGATTTAAAGTCCGACAACAAAAACCTAAAAGAAATACATACATAAAAATATGTACATAAAAAGGTGTTATTTCAACACTGAAAACATAACTAAATTGTAAATTAAATTTTAGAAAATTTGTAATTTATTATGATGATAAAATTATATTTTTTTATGATGATAAAATTATATTTTAACTCCTATAAATTTTTATAATTTAACCTTGGAAATATAAATGCTTGTTGATATTATGGATTTAAAGCGTCATTTTTAAGAATAATTTTATAAATCAATGAAATTATTAATACATAGTACATCAATTTTTTTTAAATGATTGCCAATTCTAAACCAAGTTTCAAACTCTTCGCCATAACTTTCAACCATTTAACAATAAACGCCCATAGTCATGCTCGAATTTGAGACCTCAAGGAGTAATGATGAATTTTTTGATTAATTTTTTAAAAGTTTGTAATTGTATAAATAAAAAATTATTAAAAATATATAAAAGGATGCTAAAATGTATAAGAATAATTTAAATACAATTACAGTATCTAATATAATTTTTTATATTATAATTATGAATTCCAAATTATTTTTTTAATATTGATTTAATATTTAGAAATAATAAAGTTTATATTTAGTTTATAGTAATATATATAATTATTATTTTTGTCTCATATGGGTGGCCCAATACTGGGGAAAATGAAAGTCGAAAAATAATATTCCAAATTACTCAAAGATATCCCTTTTGAAGATTAATCATTGAGGATCCGGATTTCAAAATTTTAATTTTAAAATTTAATTCTTATAAATAAATTAGAGTTGATTATACTACACGTTTTCAAATTATTAATCTCATTCTAAATTACTTTTTAAATTTTTAAAGTTTTAGTTTTTATCCTTAAATTATAATTCTCATTTTAAATTGATCCTCATAACTTTTAGTGTTCCAATTTCATTTTAAACTATCATTGTATGCAAAATATTTACCATGTAAAAAATGTTGGATGCCATCTAAGCATTGATGTGTATTATATAATATAATGCAATGTTGCATCATGTCTAAAAAATCATTTTTAGAATAAAATTGAAATATTGTTTGGTTGTTTATTTTTGTTCTTTTAGTTTAGTTATAATTCTTTCAATGTTTCAAAAAATAATTATTTTATTTAAATCCAATGTTATCATCATTTATGCCAAAACATATTCTTACATAATACACATAAGTGTATGCATGGCAATTTATAATTTTTATAATAAATTTATTAATAGGAGACATAATTAGCATATGATGATAGTTTGAGGATGAAATTAGAATGTTAAAAAGGTTTTGGATCAATTTAGAATGAGGATCATAATGTAGAGATGAAATTAGAATGTTCAAAAGTTTTGAGATCAAATTAGAATAAGAGTCACAATTTAAAAATAAAACTAGAATGTTTAAAAATTAGAGACCAAGATAAAAATGAGATCATGTTGAACCATGTTTTATAATATTTTTGATATAACAAATTAAGGAAAAATGTTTTTGGACTTGATTGAATTTATTCAAAGTTTTCAAAAATAATTCAAAGTCCATCAAACTAGAATTTGAGCACTGATATTGTTCTTACAGTATCGATACTACATGAAAAGTATTGATATTGTTCATGTGGTACCGATACCAAAGGTAAGAAAAGTATCGATATTGTCTAGGTAGTATCGATACTAACATATGTTTTTCAAACGACTCAAATTTCAGAATGAAAAATAGGTACCGTTACTCAAGGGGGTACCGATACTACTTTACACAGCGGTATCGATACCATGAAACATAGTATCGATACTGGTCAAGCCCAACGGTCTTTAACGACTAGTTTATTTAAATATTACGAAGGTAGTACCGATACTCATTAAAGGAGTACCGATACTCCCTGTCCTGAGTAGTTTTATTTTGCAGAAAATTAATCTCCAACGGCTAGAAACGACCAAAAACTCATTCCGACATATAAAAACCAGTTGATGACACTTGAAGAAGGTTACCAACACATATCAAAGCAATCAAACATAAGAGAAGATATTTTTATTCTTATTTTCCTTTCTTTTGTAAATATTAGTGTTTTTGTGAGCTTAATTTTGTAAAACCTACCTTGTGAGGTTTTCTTGTTTAGATCTTTTAAACCTTTTGAAAAAGGGGAGTGGTTCTAGCTTAGCATGTGAAAAGTTGGGGAGTTGTAAAGGTTATCTCTTTGTCCTGCAAAAAGAAAGAACAAATTATTGAATTTGTTAGAAAATCTTAAGTGAGGAGCTTAGGTAGTGGATGTAGACTTGGTTGAGAAGTCAAACCACTATAAATATTTGTGCAAATTGTCTAACTCTTTTTACTCCTTGCTCCCTAATCTAAAAAAGACAATTCATCCCCTCTTGGCAAATCATTCGGTTGATCAAATTTGAGCTTCATCGTAATCCCAACAATTGGTATCAAAGCTTAAATCATTAGAATGTCTAACAACTTTGAAAAAATCATTGAAGAAGCTCTATCCATTTTTGACACAACCAAGAAGATGGCTTCCACCTCCGTCTCGTTCCACATGGAAGAGTCCCAACCGATCGACAAGCCTCCATACTTCAATAGAGCCAACTACTGTCATTGGAAGAAATTAATGAATATATTCATCCAATCCAATGATCTTGATACATGGGAGATGATCGAGAACGACTACTCTTCTCCAAAGAAGAAGACAAAAGAGTAGAGTGCCCAAGAACGGAAGAAAGCTCAACAAAATGCCAAGGCCATGCATATTTTGTTTTGTGCATTTGGTCCCGATGTTTATGAAGGAGTTTCTTCATGTTCAAATGCCAAGGAGCTTTTGAATAAGCTCGAAGAGATCCATGGAAATAAGAAAGAAGAACCAACAAAGGTGGTGTGCTTAATGACTCTTGAAGAGCTCAAGGTATCTTCTAACTCTTGTGAATCTAATTCATATTCTTTTAATGAGTTACAAGATGCATATGATGAATTATTTTTGGAGTTTGATACCATGATCTCGAACTACAAGAAAATAATTTCAAAACTTAAAGTTGAAAACAATTTTCTTTTGAAATCAAAATGGATTTTGAAAATCAAAATGAAATTTTGAAAAATGATTTAGAGCTTTCAAAAGTAAAAATTGAAAATTTTGAAAAAAAAATACTTTGATTTAAAAGTTAAGCTTGAATGCTTAACAAAATAAAAAGAAATCATTTTAAATAATCCATCTAATTTCATAATGACAAAATGCTCACATTGTCATTATCATGATCACAAAGAACATACTTTTCCTTTAAAGAAATGAAAACGTTTTAAAATTAAACAAGTATGGTTCTCCAAGGGAACAAGGGGCATTGAAACTAATGTTCAAGGATCCAAAGTAATTTGGATACCAAAATCCAAATAAATGTCTCTTGTATGTGTGTGGGAGAAATGGTGATGAAAGTGAAGATATTCGAATGCTCTAGCCACATTTGATATAGAATGGGTAACCTCTAAGCTTATTTTTATTATCTTGCATAATTGGTTGCTTATTTGTCTTAAGCCGTGAGTTTTGATATTAAATGATTTTATGTTTTCTATCTCATGTATGTTAAAAATGTGTTGTGATGAACATTTTCTAAAGTTTTAATGATATTTCATAAATATTTGTTCATCATAATGAATTTTGGTCAAAATTGGTTTTAATGCTTTGTTTTTACAAATTTTAAATTTTGACCTTAATTTAAATGTTTATGCATGTGATTTATTTCAAATGATATCTCTCTAACAATTGGTATCAATTTTTCAAATGCATAATATTTTGGATAGCTTTATGCACAAGCTCTTAAATACAAAAATTGGTATTGCATAAAGTATATTAGACTTGGATATATTGAATTTCTTGTGCTACTAACTTGTTTGTTCATCTTTGTTGAAATTCAATGTTTTTTAAGTGTCAAGCTTTTCAAGTCAAATTTTTGTTTGGAATGCTTTTATTGAGGGGGAGCTTTGATTTTTCAAATGATTTTTATGCTAAAATTACTACTTACTCTCCATTGTTATTTTTGAACTTTAAAGTTGAATTATTTTTTATATAACAAAAAGGGGGAGAAGTATAGTTTTGAAAAATTCAATTTCAAGAATGAAAAAGGGGAGCTATAATATTTTCCAAATATTTATCTTTTTCATGAAATATTTTATTAAGGGGGAGTTTTGTCAAAACAAATTTTCAAATGTTTTGTTATATCAAAAAGGGGAGATTGTTGAACCATGTTTTATAATATTTTGATATAACAAATTAAGGAAAAATATTTTTGGACTTGATTGAATTTGTTCAAAGTTTTCTAAAATAATTCAAAGTCCATCAAACTAGAATTTTAGCACAACACAGTTTTCTGGTTACGTAGTACCGATACTATTCTTACAGTATCAATACTACATGAATAGTATCGATACTATTCATGTGGCATTGATACCAAAGGTAAGAGAAGTATCGATACTCTCTAGGTAGTATCGATACTACCAGATGCTTTTCAAACGGCTTAAATTCCAAAATGGAAAATAGGTACCGATACTTAAAGGGTACCGATACTACTTTACACAGTGGTATCGATACCATAAAGCATAAATCAAAACTGGTCAAGTCCAACGGTCTTTAACGGCTAGTTTATTTAAATATTACAAAGGTGGTACCGATACTCATTAAAGAAATATTGATACTCCCTATCCTGGGCTGTTTTATTTTGCAGTTAATTAATACCCAACGGCTAGAGACGACCACAAACTCATTCCAACATATATAAATAAGTTTAGAACACTTGAAGAAGGTTACCAACACCTATCCAAGCAATCAAATACAAGAGAAGAGCTTTTTATTCTTATTTTCCTTTCTCTTGTAAATATTAGTATTTTTGTGAGCTTAATTTTGTAAACACCTACCTTGTGAGGTTTTCTTGTTTACATCTTTTAAACCTTTTGAAAAAGGGGAGTGGTTCTAGCTTAGCCTGTGAAAAGCTAGTGAGTTGTAAAGGTTATCTCTTTGTCCTGTAAAAACAAAGAACAAATTAGTGAATTTGTTAGAAAATCCTAAGTGAGGAGCTTAGGTAGTGGATGTAGACTTGGTTGAGAAGTCGAACCACTATAAATCATTGTGCAAATTGTCTATCTCTTTTTACTCCTTACTCCCTAATCTCAAAAAGCCAATTCATTCCCTCTTGGAAAATCATTCGGATGATCAAATTTGAGCTTCATCGCAATTCCAACAGATCATAATTTAAGGACAACTAAAGTAAATAAATTATTTAATTCAATAAAGAGTAAAAGGGGAAAAAAGAAACTCACTTTAAATGGAAAAGAAGTTTTATTTGTTTACGAAACTCAAGGAATGATCTCGTTAATAAAGGGAATGTTGTCCTATTTAGGTTGTTCAAACAATTGTTTTCCATAAAGAAATAATTATCTTTGATTGTCATATTGATTTAAGTATGATCAAGTTTAAAAATTGTCTTTGAAAACTCAAAATCAATTTTTTTATAATATTCTCAAATTTCACATTGTTTATATATAAAATTTTTAAAAGTATTCAAATATAATCTTTTAAATATGCACGCATTGAATGATTGAAGAAAAAGTCTATACATGCACATCGTTGTTGTCATCTGGTCGACCCATGCTCATCTTTGACACATACCATTAGTTTTTTTTTGAATAAAATGTTGTACAATTTTAAAAATTTTACCTATTATTCTCCATTTTTTCATTTTAGTCTTAGATGACGTCATTGTTGAAGAGACCGTAAAAAAATTGTCACATAGATAAATATATGTTGTACAAAACACTCTTTCTGAAAGACACTTCTAGCACACCTTTATAAAAAAAAAATACTATTTAGTTAATTAAATTGTTCGAATACCATTTTAATAAAAAATAATAAAAATACTATTTATAGTGCCAAATTAGGAAGCATAACTTTATCTGCAACATTACAAAAAGCACTAAGCCTTAGGCCAAACATCATGCAGAAAAATACATAAATATTAAATAGATGCAAAATATGTAGCAAGGGAGGCAAGTGCAAAAGGAGGTGAAGACTTAACCCATATAGCATAGGCACCTGATGATAAACCATCATGAGAAAAAGTATGAGCGACCCCATTGCCAGAACAACGTACGTGCGTAAAGGAGCATCAATGAAAAGAGCGAGAAAGAGCACAAATAGTACGAAGAAGAGGGCCACTATAGGAGTCGTTTGTTAGTGTCTTAAAAACGTGAATTGCATGGAGAATGTTAGTGTATAAAATGGAGATGATTTTTAGCTGTATGTCATGAATAATTGGTTATGAGTTTGTTATGGGTTAGTTGATGTCATTTGTTGTTATAAATAGCCAGTATGATATCACCCTTGTAAACACTTTCTCATAATAAGATGAAAAGCATTATGTTACTTTCTCTCTTGCTTCTTCTATACTTAGCAGTAGAGTTGATATCTTAACATGGTATCAGTCGCCAATTCCTAGTGCCGCTGTGGCTTCTCTTCTTACTGAAGGTTCCTGAAGCTAAGTTGTTTGTTCTTTGGTTTTCTTTTCCCTGTTGTTTCTACTTCTTAAATATGGTTTCCAAATTTTCATGTTTGGTTTTCTTGAGCTCAGATATGTGATTATTTATTTTCTGGTGTTGTTGTCATGGTTGATCTTATGGCTGATCCAACTTGTGATGAGAATGTTTCTCAAATTAATTCTCCTATGAGTTGGACTATTGCTCGTATGAGCTCTATTCAACATATTCCTAAGCATGATACAATTAAGCTTACTGAGAGTACATATTTGTTGTGGAAACATCATGTGCCTTTAATCATTGATGGTTATGGCTTGCTAAAATTTATTTCCGCTAACGTAGTTGTTCTAAAATGAGTTTGTTACTAATGGGCAGCTCGAGGAGAATTTAGAGTTTTTGTTG